ATTCCAATATCTGTGTAATCTCGCCATTGGCGTCTCTTGATTGTCTTTTCTCATGCAGGTTGAGATTTTTGTGATTCTTTCTGTGCCAAGTAACTTCCTGGACATTTTGACTACTTCTTTGACTGGGGGTCTTGTTAAATTGTATGGAGAATGTTGATGTTTGTGGTTTAGCTGGCACAAGTTCCAGCCCCTCTCTGGCCTGTGGTTCCAATGCCAGTTGAGTCTGTGCAGCCTTTGCACTGCTGTTGGGGCCATCCTACACATGAGCACCCAGTGGTCAGCCTGGACCTTGGCTTTGGCCTCTCTGCTGGCTTAGTAATCAGAGTCTTTGCTCATCATGAGCAGAACCACCCATGCCCTGGTGGGGCTGGGCCCAGGCATTCATAAACAGATTTGTGGGGTCACTTTCTTGAGCTCTTTCTGCTATCTCTTTGGTACTTTCTAGTTCCCTGGGGCTCCCGTTTTTGTCCTCCAGCCATAAGCCATTTACTTCTGTGACTGCGGCTCAGTGGAGGGAGGATAGAGAGGGAAAAACAGCAAGAGGGTTTGGCCCTGTGCTGTTGGTGCTGTTGCCCCACCGAATGCAGAGGGAGGTTGCCTGTACTCAGAGTTCTGCCTGCTGCACTTCTCTGTCACTGGCTGCTCTTATTGCCTGGGCCCTCGGGTCTGTGGTCTGAGCAAACAGAAAACGGCCAGCGGATTTCCTCCATACTCCCTGGGCTTTAGGGGTTCTCTGCTCTGCTCCTTGAGCCAGAACTAGAAGGTCTCTCCTGGAGCCCTCTCTGTCTGTACGGTAGTGCTCCCTTCCTGGCCATCTGGGCAGAGTTCAGGTCAGGAGATGCTGGAGGAGAAAACACAGATGCTCACAGCCTCTCTGAATGACAGCTTCGCTTGCTGGGGTTCCTCCGGACCTGCCCGCTGGCATTTACATCTCGGAGACCGCGACCCCTGCCTCATGTGTTCTGACCCCCTGGGAGGTGGGCGTTCAATGGCAGAGAGACAAGCACGCATTTCCTCTGTATGACCCACAGTTGGAACCCTCCCTATACTTTATTCTTTTCATGTTTTTATTGTGGGAAAATGCACGGAACATAAAATCTACCATTTTAACCATTTAAAACAATTTCCCAGCAGGCCCCCAAAAGGCTCTACTCTTTTTTTTTAAACTTAAAAAATTATGGTCAAATGCACCACACATAAAATGTACCACGTTAACCATTTTTAAGTGCACAGTCCAGTGGCATTAAGCATGTTCACATACAATTCTGTGCCATTTAGTGCGGTCATAATGCTGTGCAGCCACTACTTCTCTCTAGTTCTGACCATTTATTTTTTGTCCTTTTTGTGACCGGCCGCACCGCACTCAGCCAGTGAGCACACCAGCCATCCCTATATAGGATCCGAACCTGCGAAGGGAGCACTGCTGCGCTCCCAGTGCTGCACTCTCCCGAGTGCGCCACAGAGTCAGCCCCCGACCATTTTTATCACCCCAAAAGGAACCACTCCCTGTTCCCCCCAGGCCCTGGCACCCCCTAATTTACTGTCTGTTTCAGTTTCATCTAAATGGAATCCTACAGTATGTGGCCTTTTGTGACTGGCATCTTCACTGGGCACAGTGTTTTCAAGGTTCATTCATGTTGCAGCAGCATGTAAGGATCTCATTTTTTGTTATGGAATAAAAAATAAAAGCAAATGGACAATTTTGTTGGCATTGTTGAGACCTGGGAGTGGGGGTGTGAGAAAGGAAATATGGACATCAGATCATTAGATTTGGTTAAACCCTGTAGTCTTGAATTTTAATTAGGAATATAAGTGTGAGCTCCTAATATATTTTAACTTAAAATATATATATATGTACATTTCCTTGCCTTGTCCCCTGAAGAGGCCTAGAACAGCGACACTCAGTGGTTATGCAGACTTGGGGCAGGAAGTTGAGCCTGGAACACTTTGTTATGGCATATATATTTAAATCCATTAGTTCATAAGAATATTATTTAAAATCATCATTTTGATGCTAAAAGCACAAGCTGCAAAAATTAGATCAATTGGGTTTCATTAAAATTAAACACTGGTGCACCAAAGGACACCATCAAGAAAGTGAAGAGACAGCCTACAGAATGGGAGAAAATACTTGTAAATCATGTATCTGATAAGGGACTTGTATTAAGAACACATACAACTCAATAAGAAAAAGACAAAGAACCCAATTCAAAAATGATGGGCAAAGGATCTGAATAGACATTTCTCCAAAGAAGGTAAACAAATGGCCAGTAAGCTCATGAAAAGCTGCTCAACGTCATTGGTCATTATAGCAATACAAGTCAAAACCGAGAGGTGCCACTTCACACACACTAGGACAATAGCAAGTGCTGGTGAGGACAAGGAGACATGAGCCCTCCTGCACTGCTGCTGGGAATGTCAAATGGTGCAGCTCTGGTGGAAAACAGTCTAGCAATTTCTCAAAAGGTTAAAAATAGAGTCATCACACTCCCAGCCATTCCACTCCTAGGCATAGACACGAGACAATTGAAAACATATGTGCGCACAACAGCTTGTGCATGAATGTTCAAAGTATTGTTCATAATAGCCAAAAAGTGGAAATAACCCAAATGTTCATCAACTGGTGAACGCAAAATCTAACTAGCAATAATAAAGAATAAACTACTGGTACATGCTATAACATGAGTGATTGTCGTATATTATGCCAACTGGAAGAAGCCAGTCGCAAAGGTCACGTAGTATACGGTTCCGTTTACATGAAATGTCCAGAATAGGCAAATCTATGGAGACAGACAGGACATGAGTGGGTGCCAGGGGCTGGGAGGGGAGAATGGGGACTGATGCTGATGGGGACGGGATTTCTCTCTGGGGAGATAGAGATGTCATGGCCGCACAGCTCTGAATATCCTAGTAACTGCTGAACTGTATGCTTGCCTGCAATGCATTTCATGGCATGTGCATTGTAGCTCAATAAAAAATATCGTGCAGCTGAATGAAAAGAGGACATGTGGGAGAGGAGTGCGCACAGCTGGAGAATAGCAAGCGCAAAGTCCCTGAGGCGGCGAGTGCTTGGTGTGTTCAAGAAACAGCCAGTGACCAGTTTGGCTGGAGCAGAAAAGGGTGTACAGTAGGGTAGGGCAGATGGAGCAGGTGTTTGTAGACCTGGGAGGCCTTAGAGTGTTGCTCTCAATATGGTGGTGGCCCCTGGAGAGTTTGAGCTGAGGAACGACTGGTTTCTGTTAGGTATGAGAGACAATGTGGCCGTGGCATGGAGGATAAGGTTGGGTAGGGCAGGTCGCTGCCTGGAGATACATCGGCAGACTGCGGCAGCACCCAGGCACATGTGTGTGCTGGCATGGGGGTGTTGGTAGCGGAGAAGGCTGGAGGAGCGCCTGGCTTTGGCCAAGCCAACCAGATTTGCTGATGGGGGCAGGGGACAGAGTCCTGGAGCATGGCAGGGTTTGAGGCTTTGTGGGTTTGTTCTGCAGACTTTTCCAGAGGGCCCTTGTTGGATCCATCCCTTGCTGGGGAGCAGAGAGGAGACAGATGAGATACGGTGTTCAGATGAGTCTCAGGCTTGGAGGGCTAGGTCCTAGTGATCCAGAGGGGACTTCAGTGGAGATGTCAGCCAGGACTGCCCAGTGCAGTCAGTACCATGGTCACAGCCTGACCTGGTGGCTGGTGGAATCCTGATCAGGCCACCTATCCCTTCCTGGGCATTGGGGGCGAAGAGGCTGTTGGAGCCAGCTGTCCACTGAGGAAGGGATGGCAGGCAGAGGTGTCCCAGCACAGGCCACTCACTGGTTAAGACTTCATGAGGTCCTGAGTGGCGATTGCTCTTGTCTATCTGTCTGGGCTGTCTCCTGTCTAGACAGTGTCCCACCCCTGCTCCAGGGCTGCCCTGCAAGTGTGTCCCTCAGGCAGATTGGGAGGATGAGTCAAGGAGGTAGTGAGGAGGTCTGAGAAGCCACTTGTAGGAATGCGGTCGTGGACTTGACATGGTCACAGCCGGGAGCCAGGCCTAAGACCTGGTTCCAGCAGACAGGGAGCTGAGCTCCGAATATTTGAGTGAGTGTGCCCCTGCTGCCCCCAAGTCTACTCCTCACCCAGGGTTGCCTGGGCCAGAAATGCTCCAAGGAGCCCCTGGCCCTTTCATTCATGCCTGGGACTTCATGCTGGCTTTGGGTGTAAGTGCCATGGTGCTGGCTGTGTGAGTTCATCCTGGTGTGTGTGCTGGGGCAGGGGCAAGGAGGAGGTCAGGGTGCAGAGACAGGCCCAGCTGTCTTTCGGGCCACCCTGCTTACACTAGGCTTTGTGGATTGGGCATGGATGGCCTCTCGGTTGGCAGTTAGGTCCTGGGGACCAGTGGTGAGCCTCTTCTTGCTGGAGGAAGCAAGAGTGCGCTAGCTGAAGCCTTGCACTCTGGCCCGGCAGCTGCCTCCTGAGAGCTGCTGCTTGGGGAGGCTGAGGCCTTGGGGACCGACTGCAATGTCAGTGCCCTGCCTAGAGAGCAGGGCTCTCCACGGCCCTGCCCTGCTGTGCTGGTTGGCTTTGGCCATTCCTGGCTGGGAGGGTGATCTGCTCAGGAGAGCAGACCTTGTCCTGGAAGTGTTCCTGAGCCGTAGGCCACCATCAGGTCCCTCTGGGTTGTGTTCTACCTTAGGAGGCCCTGCTACATGCCACATGCCCACGCAATAAGCCGTGCTGTTGGCTGTGTGACAAATATACACTCCTGTATGTTTCTGCAGCACTTGGCACTTTCCAGAGTATGCTCCTGGGTGTCATTGCAACCCGAGATGGGTTGGACAGGGAACATTTGATGGCAGCAGCCCTGAGACCAAGGTCCCTAAGCCAGTCCAAAACATTGCTGGGTGGGGACTGGCAAGCTGGTGGGCTAGGCTCCCAGCAGTGGGCAGCATGTGGGGCAGCAGCCCCTGGAACAGCTGGCCTCGGACTGGCTTAGGTCTAGCCAGTGAAAACGTGTGGGCTTCTTTTCCCAGGGCCGTGCCTGTGCCCATAAGCAGCTGCACTTTATGGACCAGTTGCTAGACGCGGTCCGGAGCCTGACCACTGGGTGTGCCAATTGCTTGAGGTAAAGGTTCGAATGGCCCAGGTGGATGCCATTGACGGGATCTTCTTGGTCCTAGATCTGGAGCTGGTGGGGGTTGGGGTCCCATCTCCAGCTGGGTCTAACTGTCCCCCTCTGGTGGCAGCAGCTTGCCAGCTGCAACCACATCCTGGCCCAAGAGCTGGGCATGGAAGCCAGCAGGGCACCCCCCTTGGGGAGCTGGCCAGCTGGTTGGGGGCCAGGTGGTGTACGGGTGAGGTGCAGCTGCAGTCTGAGTGTGCCAGGTTGCTGCCCCAGGTCCCGGGCAGTCAGTTTCAAGGTGTGGGGTGGGCCTCAGAGAAGACAGCAGGGCATGATGGAGGAGGGCAGGTGCCTGGGGCACCCCTGTGGGCGGGCAGGCTTCTTGGAGGAGCCAACAGGCAGAGGCTGGGAGAAGTGCCAGGTGGTGGGGTTCCTTCTTCCGGCCTCTCTGCCTGGTCTCATCTCTTGGGACTTCACGTGGGACAAAGGGCTTGCTGAGCCAGTGCTCTGGCCTGTGACCACGTGGCCCTGGGGGCTGACTTTGCAGCCTGAAGGAGCACTTCGAGGACACCAGGGAGAAGAATGAGGTGTTGCTGGGGGAGGTATTCTCCAGCCCGCACCTGCGGATGCTCCTGAACCCTGAGTGTGACCCATGGTGCCTGGATATGCAGCCCCTCCTCCACGAGCAGAGCGACAACTGGCGAAGGTGCATGCCCTGAGGGGCCTCCCGCGTGTGGACCGCAGGGTGGCCCGACACCCACAGTGGCGGTGAGCTGGAAGTGTCTCCTCTTCTCTCCCTGCAGGGCTAGCCCCTCTGCCGAGTCAGAGGAGGAGAAGGTGACAGAGCTGGCCAGGCAGCTGCAGGAGAGCACGGCCAAGCTGCAGTCACTGCAGGTAAAGGTGAGGGGTGCCAGCCTCGGGGGCTGTGGGGCGTGGTGATGAGGCCCTGCTTTGTGTCCTAGGCAAGTGATGTCACCTCCCCCAGCACAGTGTGCCAGGGCCTAAGTGAGGTGGCTCGTGCATAGGGCCCAACAGGTTCTAGAGCGCGGTGGGTGCTCAGTCCCTATTAAGGTGCAAAGCCCTGTGCATGAGTGGGGGAGCTTTCCTGGAATGGAGGGGCTCGGCCTCAGCTGTTAGGCGTACCCTGTTACGTCAGCTCTCCCAGCAGCCCTTGGCCCGGCTTCTTGACTTGCCAGTTGGGGAGACTGAGGCCCACACGAGCATAGCAGAGGTCAGAAGGTCTTGCTGTGAACTGAGCTGCTCTGCTCAGCCCCTCTGTCTCCTGGTTTGCGGAGCTTGCTTCCTCCGACTGTGCAGCCTTGAGACTGGGCATGCGGCAGCAGCCGGGTCTGGCCAGGCCCCGAGTCTCTCTGCCTCTGGCTTTGCGCAGCACAGGCAGGGGGCCTCTGTGGCTGGGGCCAACCCCAGCACCCTGGACCAGAAGCTGCGCCTGGCCATCTCCGACTTCCACCAGCTCATCCTGGCTTTCCTCCAAGTCTACGAGGATGAACTGGGTGAGTGCTGCCAGCGCCCAGGCCCCAACCTCCACCCGTGCGGCCCCATCATCCAGGCCGTGTCCCAGACTCTGACTTCCTGCAGCCAGGTAAGAATCTCTTCTCCCCTCGACAAGAGATACCTGAGGGTTGGCAGCAGAGGCCAGGAGAGGCTTGGCCTCGGCCCTGGGCTCTGGGGCTGGGACCTTTGGCAGGTTGGGGAGACACTTTGCTCAGGCTGGGATGACACTCAGTACCAGCATGTCAGTAGGCACCGAAGGTTGCCACAGTGATGTAATAGTGTGGCTTCCCTGCTGGGCCAGGAGGACGGGGACTTAATTTTGAGAAATCTGATTGGCGATTCCCTAGCTGGAGTTCTCTCCCTCGCCCTTGGCTGTCTTTGGGGGTAAATGCCACATGCTTGGTGTGAACTTGGGTGGGAAGGAGGAGATGCCATCTCTAGGTGAAACCAGCAGCATTTAATGCTCCCACTCCCCCCCTCAGCTGTTGAGAACAGTCGTGGAGGCTGCTGTCACCTCTGTGAAAGCTGCGGAGGCAGCCAAGGAGCAGCCGGGAGAGCAGATCTGCTGGGGCAGCAGCAACTCCATGATGAGTCTAGGTATGTGGCCACGCCCGCAGGTGGGCAGGGCTGCCTGGGCCCTCTGGGTTCCTGTTCCTGTGCCCAGCCAGCTCTTGGCGAGCATCTGGGGACTGGTCTCTTCTTTCTTTCTTCTTTTTCTAATGCATGTTCTCCTTCTCTTGAAAAGATGCTTTCAACGGGTTATAAAATAAAAATATTCATTGTGGAAAATTGGGCTAACCCAAAGACATGTGGGGTCTTTGACCTGTACCCTGGCCACCCAGAGGTGGCCGTTGTTAGTATTTTGCTGTTTCCTTCCACTCTTTTTCCTATTATTGTTCTTAATTTCTTTCTACAAGGTAAGTATAATCATAACATATGTACAGTTTCACATGTACGTTCATATCACGTTCTGTCCCTTTGACCTCATTGTAAGCCTTTTCCCAGGTTTCCTAAGTAATGTTTTCAGTTGTCAAACACTTTGCCTTTAGGCATTTGCTATCATTTTCTTAACATCTTCTGTTACGGAGTCTGTACGTCATCTTCAGTTTTTCACTATACTGCATGATGCTCTTGCAGGATTTACGGTAGTGAGGGATGGAAACAAGCCAAGCTCTCACGTCAGGCACCGCTTGGCAAACAGCAGCCCTCTGTGCGGTGGGTAGCGCTCGCCGTTGGGTACGACGGCATGTGGAAGCACACGCTGCAAAACAGTCGAGGGAGCGCGGGTCAAGAGATGAAACACGCAGTATGACCTCACCTTTCCAAAGGAGAAACGTAGAAGCAGCCCTCGAAGGGAATGAGCTGTGATCGGGATGTTGATTTTCTGTGTTGGAGTCAGGGGCGGGTGGTTGTCCCCTATTTCTTTAGCCTTCTCTCTAGTCTTCAGATATTCTCCAGTGACTGTTTATTACTTAGGTTTCTTTTCCCTCTTGATGAACAATCTTTTAAGAAAAGGACACAGTGAACATGTTTAGACATAAACTGTTTTCCCCATTTTAGGTTTTGTCCTTAGGACAGAGTTCCCGAAGGTGTGTTAGTGAGGCCAGGTTATCAGGCCCAAACGATTTCCATCTTGCTGTGTCATCATCAGCACTGGATTTCATCTTCTTTTTTTGGCTTTTTTCGTGTCTGGCAACAGATCGCAACCCTCGGTGCTGTGTGCCTGCACCTTGCTCAGCCAGCGAGCAGGAACCGGTCTGTATGTGGGATCCGAACCCTGTAGCAGTGCGCCACCGGGCCGGGCCCTAGATTTCATCTTTTAACAGTTTTGCCATTGGATAGGGGCAAAATTGTATGTGAATTTAATTTTTTTCTGAGTTAGGTTTTTGTTGATCATGGAAATATTCAGAAAAGTTTTTTAAGAAAAATAGCATTTCAGGAGGAGTCTCAATTGTAGGGCTGTAAACATGAACTGGTTTGATATTTTCCTGTGCTGTGTCAAGCTCCCTCCATTCCAATTCACATGATTTTAAAGTGAACACTTGTGTCACCATAGCCCAGGTCAGGAAATAGGACATGGCTAGCACGTCCCATGTGTCCCTCCCGGTCATAATCCTCTCCTACCTGCGGGTGACTGCTGTTGTGACTTGGCGATAACTCTGTGAGACTCATGTACTTATGTGTATCTATAACATGCTCATTTTCACTGCCTTGTGGGAGGGGTTGGCACACTTTTTCTGTAAAGGGCCAGATAGTAAATATTTTAGGCTTTGTGGGCCACATGGTCTCTGTGGCCACTAGATAGCTGCGCTGTTGTAGCGGGAAAGCAGCCGTAGAGGACATGTAAATGAATGAGTGCGGTTGTGTTGCAGTAAAATGTCGCTTACAGCAGCAGGTGGTGGGCTGCAGGTTGCCATATAGCATTCCATCGTAGACCTATGTCGCACCGTATCTGTCCACTCTGCTGGTGGCAGACTGTGCGTTGTTTCCATTTTGGGTTCTTCTGAATAATGCTGCTTTGAACAATCTTGACCATGTCTCCTATGCACGTGTGTGCCTGTTTTTCCAGCTGTCTCCCTAGGAGTAGAATTACTGGGTCACATGGGGTGAGTGTGCTTGTCTTCAGTGTGACTCGGTCCTGCCACATTGCCCATCCTCCCAGCAGCGTGTGTGACATCCCCTTGCTGCACACCCCCATCAGTACTTACTGGGTCCTGACTTTCTCATTGGTTCCTGTTTGGTGGGCGTGCAGTGGTATTTCATTGCATCTTTATTTTGCATTTCTCTAATTACCAAACAAGATTGTACCTTTTCATACATTTATTGACTGCTGAAGTTTTCCCTTTTGCGAAGTGCCCGTTTAAGTCTTATTCATTGTTCTCTTGGGTTGCTTGTCTTTTTCTCACTGATTTGTGGCCTTTTTTGTATCCCAGATATGAGTCTTCTGCCACTATGTGCCTTATCTCTTTATACCTTTTATGTGGCCTTTTGATGTCCAGTAGCTTTTAATTTAAATATAGTCAAATGCAGCCATCATTTCTTTATGGATAGTGCCTTTTGTGTCTTCTTGAGCAATAGTTTCCTACTCCTACATCATGAAGATATTCTCCTATATCATCTTCCAAAAGCTCTGGCATTACCTCTGCGGTCCGGTCAGTAATCTTCCTAGAGTTGATTTGTGTGCGTGTGCTGTGAGGTGGGGCCGTTCCATTTTACCTCACCTGTGTACACATTTGTCCTATCCCCGTTTAACGGAAGCCCACTCTTTCCCCCGAACTACGGCAGCATCACCTCTGTCAGTTATCAAGTATTCACATATGTGTGGGTTTCTGCGTTCTCTATTCTGTTCTTTTTTAACGTTCTTTTCTATCCATGTACCAATACCATATTTGAGGAGATTAGAGAATAAATGGCAAAATAAACCCATAGAAAGAAGGTAAAGCCAGTTTTCCCACCTTGCTCTTCTTTGTTTTAAAAACAGCTTTACTGAGCTATAAGTCACATATTATAAACTTCACTCTCTTACAAGTTATAATTCAGTGGGTTTTAAGATAGTCATGGTTGTGCAGCTATCACCACTAAGTCCAGGACGTTTCCACCAGCCCAGTAAGAAACACAGTCACTCCCCACTGCCCCGACCCAGGCCCTGGTGGCCACTCACCTACTTACCGTCTGTCTCCATGGATCTCCCGTGCTAGACGTTTCCTATAAACGGACACGTGGCTTTTTGCGTCTGGCTTCCTTCACTGAGCATAATGTTTCGTAAGGTTCATCTATGTACTTCATTCCTTTTTAGCTGAATAATATTCCATCATGTGGACATACTACATTTTGTTTATCTGTTCATCTGTCGGTGGACATGTGAGTTGTTTCCACCTTTGGCTGTTACGAATAGTGCTGCTATGAACACTGTGTACAAGTCATTGTGTGAACATATGTTTTCAGTTCTCTTGGGTCTCTACCTAGGAGTATTGACTGCTGGATCACATGGTGACTGTTTGTTTTATCCATTCTACCATTCTCTTCCTTTTGATTGGGTTGTGTAATCCACTGATATTTCATGTGGTTACCGACGAGGTAGGATTTATGTCTGCCATTTTGCTCTTTGTTTTCTATAATTCTCAGATCTTATTCTATCCTATTTATCTTTACTACTTCGTGTTAAAATATATATTTTCTAGTACACTGTTTTCCCATGTTGTTTCTTTAACTCTGTTTTTTAGAAGTTATTTTCTTAGTGGTTACCCTTATGATTACCGTTAACAACTTAAAACAATCCCGTACCAAGTTAATTTCAATAGTGTACAAAAACTTCACTCTATTATAGCTTCTTTCCTTCTCCCCTCCTTTGTGCTATTATTTTTGTACAAATTACAACTTTATATATTGTATGCCCATCAACTTGGGTTTGTAATTATTGCTGTATGCAATTGCCTTTTAATTTAGATAGAAGAAAAGAGTCACAAACAAAAATACATTTATATTCACTTTTATGAATATACTTACCTATGTCATTACCTTTATTGGAGTTCTTTATTTCTTCATGTGGATTTGGGTTATTGTCTGGTGTCCTTTTATTTCAGCCTGGAGGACTACCTTTAGTATTTCTTGTAGGGAAGGTCCAGTAGTGACAAGCTCCTTCAGGTTTTTTTAAAAATCTGGGATGTCTTAATTTTTCCTTCATTTTTGAAGGATAGTTTTGCCAGATATAGAATTATTGGTTGATAATTCTTTCATACTTTGAATACTGTGGTCTCCCTTATCTGTGGTTTTGCTTTCCATGGTTTCAGTTACCTGTGGCCTATCACAGTCCAAAAATATTAAATGAAAAATTCCAGAAATAAACAATTCATACATTTTAAATTGCCTGCAAACCAGCCAGCTGCCAAAAAAACCCCCCAAAAACAAAACAAAACCAAACCAAATAAATTGCACACCATTCTGAGTAGCATGATGAAGTCTCATGCTGTCCCACCCAGGATGTGAATCATCCCTTTGTCCAACATATCCATGCTGTAGACACTACCCTTCCGCTAGTCACTTAGCAGCTGGCTGAGTGATCATATCGACTGTCATGGCATTACATGACCCTTATATTATTTCATAATGGCCCCAAAGCACAAGAGTACTGATGGTGGCAATTTGGATATGCCAAAGAAAAGCTGTAAAGTGTTACCTTTAAATGAAAAAGTGAAAGTTCTTGACAATAAAAAAAAATTGTGTGTTGAGGTTACTGAGTTCTAAAGTAAGAACAAATCTTCTTTCCATGAAATCAGGAAAAAGGAAAAGAAAGCTGTGCTGGTTGCTAGTGCACCTCCAACTGCAAAAGTTCCAGCTGCCATGCATGCCAAGTGCTTAGTTAAGATGGACAAGGCATCGCATTTGTGGGAGGACTTGAACAGAAACACGTTCCTACTGATGGCAGTAGGGTTGGCAGCCATCCACTGTGCAGATAAGGGGGGCTGCTGCATGTCATCCCACTGTCATCTGGCCTCCATTGCTTCTGATGCAAAAGCAGCTGTTAATCTTGTTGGACATCCTTGTATGTGAAGAGTCTTCACTTGTTTTCAAAATTCTGTTGGTCTTTGGCTCTTGAAAGTTTGATTATAATGTGGATCAATTTGAGTTTATCCCATTGGAGCTTCTTGAGCTTTTTAGATGTGTGGATTTGTGTTTTCTTTTATTGCACTCAGCCAGGCAGTGGGTAGTGCTCCCTTCTCCTCCACTTCTTGCTTGCTGGGAGCCTTGGGGTCGGCGAGAGGAGAGACCCTGGGCCTTCTTGGGGCCGCCCTGGGCACTTGCACAACCCTGGGCACACACATGGCCCTGGGCCTCCCAGGACTACGGCAGGGCTTCACAGCGCTATTGCGGCCAGCTCGCTCCCAGCTTTCTTCCTGAGCTTCTGGATGTGCTGTCATTCACCGCAGCTGCTATCCACTGCCTCAGGCAGCAGCGACCGAAGCGTTTGCCTGTAAACGTTTTCCAACACTATGTTCCCAGTAGTGGCTTTAGGTCACAAAACCTCTGAGCCCTCCCTTTGGAGACTGTTTTTGGACAAACTCTCCAGCTGGCCCTCTCCTTGGCCAGCTGGCCTTCTTGCCACTCTTAGCCTGGGCACATACCTGCCACATGCGTACTGGGCACTCAGGAGTGTCTTCTTGCTGAATGAACTGCAACCGAACCTTCCATTTTAAAATTTGTTACAGCATTTATGCTAGTCACCACTGTCACTGGGACTCTCATCCAGTGTGTGTAATTGCTGTTAATAAACTGCTTCTGATCTGTGCTGTCATTGTGATAGTAATGATCTGAGTATTCTTAACAGTGCGCCATCTCATCTGTGACCATGGCACCATAGGACTGGTGACAGGTGTGGCTTTTCAGATAGGCTCTCTTTATACCTGGGCAATGTGGAGCAGGGATGCTTTGTGTGCCGGGAAGCGCCTGCTCGCCCGGAGCACCTAGCCAGCCCCGGGGTCTGGAGGAACATGCAGGCCACCGGGCCAGCAGGGACTTGTCTCTTTTTGTCTCCTGACGACTCACTTGAGATGAATTCTTACCTTTAGACATGCCCAGGGAAAGGGGTCAGTGTCAAATCTGTGCTAGAGGCCACTGGGAATGGGGCTTTGCTGCACTGAGGGCCTTAGTCTTGACGTGCCTCTCACCCCCTGTGGAGGGACTGTGTTTCCGTGCTGCTTCTCCCAGCAATCTGGGTGCCAGTGGCTGGGCTACATTGGTAGCACATCCCTGTGTATGGAGTGAGGGGCTCAAGAGAGGGGCTGGGTGTGCTTGCCAGGCCCGTGCCCAGCAGCATGGCCTTATGAGCAGGCAGGCATCTTGTCCCGTGGTCACTCACCTCACACTGGGGTCGCTGTCTCCATAGGGTGGACCTGAAGTCCCATTTGCCTCCCAGGCCTCCCAAGACCCCACTGCAATGAAAATATCGGCACAGTTAGAATACAAAGCAACCCTCTTGGTGCTGAGCATGAGGTGGCACCAGCTCAGGAGAGGTGGCGAAGGCTCCTGGTGTGGCTGGTGGCAGCCCAAGTGTAGCCCACCTCTCCTTTGCCTCTGAGGGCCTATGGGGTGAGGGCTGACCCCTACCTGCTCTCTCCACCAAATTCCTCCGTCCAAATCCCCCTCTGGGGAGAGACAGTGGGAGTCTGGCCCCAGGCTTCAAGCCCCTTGAGGGCCAGGTGCGGGGGCCCCTCCCTGAGGAGGAGTGGCCAAGGAGGACAGGCGGCCTTTGTGGGAGGGCAGAGGTGGTCCTCGTGTGGATTACCCAGGCTGAGCAGCGCTAGGCTCACTTTCCTCTTTGTGTTTTTCTTTCCTCTGCAGCCACCAAAATGGATGAACTAACACGGAAACATAAGGTCTTCAGCAACAGCCTGCACAAGGCACAGGGCAGATAGTGTGGGAGCAGGAGGCCCTCCCTGGAGCCTGAGGTGGTGGGAAGGGACGAGCCACCGCAGGAGAAGCAGTTACAGCTCCTTTGGAGGGCAGCGGGCAGAGTTGGAGAGACAGGAAACCTCAGGCTCCGAGATGCTGCCTCCAGCCTGCTTTTTGCTTTCGCAGCTCTGTGTCACTCTCCCTTCTCTCTGGCCCAGGCTGCTTGCCCCCTCATTTGTGTCCAGGGGCCGGGGCCAGGGCTGGGGCCACCTCTGGCTGCAGCGCTCCAGCTGTCCTGCAGGCCTGGGCTGGGCCCCTCTCCCCATTGCTGCCACCTCCCAGTTCAGCTCAGTGACGCCAAGCCCCCCAAATCGCCACTGTACCCTGTTGCCAGCTGTGCGTGAGGAGGGTCCCCACCACCTCCTCCCCCTGGCCGACCTCAGGGTCCCCTGTGAGGACTCCTTGCCGCCCCTCAGTAGTGCTCGTCACCCACCCCTGGGACCCAGCAGGTGGGGACCTGTTCCCGCCTCCTTCCTTCTCAGGGCGCCCAGCACCAGGCTGGGGAATTCTTAGAGGTGGCTGGACTGGTTGTCCAGGAAGCTGCTCTAGGGCTTCCCAGGGTGACCCAGTATCTCCCTGAGCTGTGTGCCTGTCACGGCCACCTCCCTCCCTTCAAGCACGGGAACAGGTGTGGCTGGGGGAGGAAGGGTCTCCTCGCACCTGCCACTGCCTGCCCTGCCCCTTCGCTTCCCCAGGTCCCCCTGTGGGCACCTGCGGCAAGGAGGCCACGGGAAGCTAGCCTTCAACTGATTGGACATCGTATAACTTCGTATAATGTATGCTATACGAAGTTATTACGTGCCACTGCCTGCCCTGCCCCTTCGCTTCCCCAGGTCCCCCTGTGGGCACCTGCGGCAAGGAGGCCACGGGAAGCTGGGCGCCGGGCCCCCTCCCGCCCAGTTACCTGGGGTGTCCTACAGACCGCTGCTGTGGGAGGCGGGAGGACAGGCAGGCCTGTGGTCAACACTGCCCGGGTGCACTAACTGCTTTACAGGCCGAGAGACTCGAGGGCCGCAGTAGGTAGGGCAACATCTCGGTCACTGGGCGACACCGAGGCTCCCATCCTTAAAGAGCGCCCCTTCCCCTTCATAGGCTGAGCACAGCGTGCACAGGCACCTTGTTCACCCTCCCAAGCCCACTTCACCCTAACAAGAGGGGGAAACTGAGGCCTGGAGAAGGGGACCTATTACCTTCGTGTGACATGTCCCAGCATGGGGCTAGCAACTGAACCTGGTCTGCCAGGCCTGGCAGCCACAGCCTGGCTCCCGTCAGACTTGCAGACAGGGCTGGACAGAAGGCACAGCTTTTCAAGTGCCGCCAGCTTCCTCGTGCCTGTGAGGACACATTCTTCCAACTTGTGACCTTGCTCATCGGGAGTCTGTGTGCGGCCCGGAGCCTGCTTTCCAATCTGTAAACATGGGTGTGCGTCTCATCCCGGCGGCTGTGAGTTAGCAAGGGGGTGGTGAGCCAGCCGGCTGCACAGGTCCTGCGGCCTTAGGCCTCCCGGTTGCCCAACAGGCGGCTGGGGGTGGGGCGCGGCCACTGATTAAAGGGTGCCTGGAGCAGCCTGTGAGCAGACAGGTGCCCAGCAGCCCAGGAAGCCAGCCAGCGCCATCCCCAGGTAAGCCAGCGCGACAGGGTTGGCAAGACAGTCAATGGGAGCCTGGGGGCAGGCGGAGACCAGCTTGGGGCTGAGCCCAGGAGAGGCTTTCTTGGGTGCCTGCTTCTTGGCAGCCAGCCCTGGGGATGGAGAGCCAGGGTGCTGTGCCTGAGGCTCCCAGCCAAGGTGTCTTGGTGAAGGGGCTGGTCCCTGCCGAGGTGCCATCCCCAAGCTGCACCTGCTTCCCCACATCCCTAATGGGGACCTGACTGTAGGCATGGGCCCCCCACATAGCTGGAGGCAGGAGGCAGAGGGCTCTGGGCACATCAGGCCTTTTGTTCTTTGTTAGGTGGCAGAAGTGGGGCTGGTCAGGGAGGGACCAGAGGCACAGAGTGGAGGAGCATGGTGTGTTCTGGACAGAAGTGACAAGCTCTGCTCACTGGGTCCTAACCCCAGAAGCCCCTTTCAAGTCTCCCTGGCTGTGGGCCTTAGAAACTGCTCCTGGAGCCAAAAGGCCCATTTGGTGGAGTGGGGGTGTTAGGAAGTGAGGCCTAGAGGGGTCAGAGCTTTGGCCAGAGAGATGGCCGTGGGTAGCAGGGCCCGGGTGTGCCATCTCTTTACCCTCAGGTTGTGTACCTCTTGCTTTGGCAGCTTTAGGCCGGCCTCGTTATCCCCCTGAGAACATCACCATGTCCGAGCCACCCCGGGCTGAGACCTTTGTCTTCCTGGACTTGGAAGCCACCGGGCTCCCCAGTGTGAAGCCCGAGATCGCCGAGATATCCCTCTTTGCTGTCCACCGCTCCTCCCTGGAGAACCCGGAGCGTGACGAGTCTGGCACCCCTGTGCTGCCCCGGGTCCTGGACAAGCTCACGCTCTGCATGTGCCCAGGGCGTCCCTTCACTGCCAAGGCCAGCGAGATCACTGGCCTAAGCAGCGAAGGCCTGGCAGAGTCCCGGAAGGCCAGCTTCGATGGTGCCGTGGTGCGGACACTGCAGGCCTTCCTGAGCCGCCAGGCAGGCCCCATCTGCCTTGTGGCCCACAATGGCTTTGATTATGATTTCCCCCTGCTGTGCACGGAGCTGCAGCGCCTGGGTGCCCACCTGCCCCAAGACACTGTCTGCCTGGACACGCTTCCAGCGCTGCGGGGCCTGGACCGCGCCCACAGCCACGGCACCCGGGCCCAGGGCCGCAGGGGCTACAGCCTGGGCAGCCTTTTCCACCGCTATTTCCACGCCAAGCCGACCGCGGCCCACTCAGCAGAGGGTGACGTGCACACCCTGCTCCTGATCTTCCTGCACCGTGCCGCTGAGCTGCTCGCCTGGGCCGACGAGCAGGCCCGCAGCTGGGACCACGTGGAGCCCATGTACTCGCTGCCTGATGCCCCAAGCCCCGAGGCCTGAGTGCCATAGGCACTCCCTGCACCACGGGCAGCGCCCCCCTCGCCTGTTCAGTGGACTCAGGCCTGCAGCTGGCACTAACCAGAACCTCGATGTCCCCATGCCGGGCCTTTGCTGGCCCTCGTAGGGGCAGCCACATATCCCTAGAGCCTTCACCATGCCCTCCTGGGACCGTGCTCCCCGAGACCAGGGTGTGTGCTCCCGCGCTTGGCTGCTGCGCAGCATCCACTCTTCACCCTGTCTCAATAAACGTAGTCAACTTCTCACCGGCTGCCTCACTGGCCAGATACTTGGGGCCAGGCCCCTCTCCCTCTGCCCAGAGGAAGCTGGAGTAGAGCCCCCAGGGCCACCCCCTTGTGGCTGTCCCTGCGGTGAGCTCCGTGGGTGTGTGGTCTCCTACCTTCACCTTGAGTATTGTCCCTCCCTGCATTATCACTCCAGAGGCCTCAGAAATCAGTGAACAAAGCCCAGCTCCAGTACCTGCCTGCTGCGGGACCCAGAGCCTCTGTCCTGGCTCTGCGAAGCAGTAATAGGGTGAAATGGTGAGATACAGGATGCTGGGGAAAAGGGAGGCGCCCCCACCCACATGCTGAGCGACAGGAGGGGCCACCGAAGTTGCTAAGCTTATTGAGGCATGAGGAGAGGTGGGGTGGCCGGCACCGTGAGGGCGATACCTGGAAAGGAGCCTGTCCTGGGCTCCGTGGGGAGGGCGGTTTCGTGTTGCTGGGTAACCTGCTTGGGGGGCCCACCCTCGGGCCCTCCTGGTCTCACAGGGAGGCAGGCCGGCTGGGAGAGACCTGTGTCATGCTGTGGCAGGTAAGGGGTGAGGTGCCCACGCCCGAGAGTGACTCGCATGACCAAACCTTGATCCTTAAGCCAGCCGGGCCCACTTGGGGAACCCTAAGTAGGTCAGAACGATAGGCCACTGCAATGTGCAAGGTGGCAGGGTGGTGAGACAGGAACACAGGCAGCGGCCACATCATCCTGTGGCCTGGGCCAGGACTGCTCCTGAGGGCAATGGGGAGCCACAGAGGGTTTAAGCATGAGAGGGGCAGAATCTGGCCTAGAGGAGAGGGTGGCAGGTAGGGGCTCTGATGGAGGGAGAGCTGTGTCCTGGCCAAGGACGCAACGGTGGGGGAGGGAGCAGCTGCGGCGAGGGGAAGCCCTGCAGGGGCTTGTTTGGGAATGTGGTTAGCAACCAGAAGGTCTGATCACAGCCAGGCTTCCTGGGGAGAGCACCCACCTGGGAGAGTGTCACGAGGCCAGGGCTGGCCAGGCAGGCCCCTGCACCAAGAAGGAGCTGGAGGAATAGCGGGGGGAGGCAGGCCGGCTGGGAGAGCCCTGTGTCATGCTGTGGCAGGTAAGGGGTGAGGTGCCCACGCCCGAGAGTGACTCGCATGACCAAACCTTGATCCTTAAGCCAGCCGGGCCCACTTGGGGAACCCTAAGTAGGTCAGAACGATAGGCCACTGCAATGTGCAAGGTGGCAGGGTGGTGAGACAGGAACACAGGCAGCGGCCACATCATCCTGTGGCCTGGGCCAGGACTGCTCCTGAGGGCAATGGGGAGCCACAGAGGGTTTAAGCATGAGAGGGGCAGAATCTGGCCTAGAGGAGAGGGTGGCAGGTAGGGGCTCTGATGGAGGGAGAGCTGTGTCCTGGCCAAGGACGCAACGGTGGGGGAGGGAGCAGCTGCGGCGAGGGGAAGCCCTGCAGGGGCTTGTTTGGGAATGTGGTTAGCAACCAGAAGGTCTGATCACAGCCAGGCTTCCTGGGGAGAGCACCCACCTGGGAGAGTGTCACGAGGCCAGGGCTGGCCAGGCAGGCCCCTGCACCAAGAAGGAGCTGGAGGAATAGCGGGCACAGGCCTCCCAGGTAGGGTTCCCCTTTATCTGGCTGGCCAGGGTTCAGTCCTGAACCAGTAGGTGGTCTCCTGAAAACCCTGGCAGCCTTGTGACTGACTTGCTGGGTAGGTGACACCAAGCAGGTTCGTTCTCACTGGACAGGCTGGAAGGGGCTCCACTCCAGGTTCAGGCAGACAGGTCAGCAGCCCAACCTGCTTTTGTGCCACTCCAGGCTGCCCTGGCCTCACGGTGGCCTGACCTTGGGCACCCTCCCTGCGTCCATGCTCAGACCAGCCAGGCCAGGCATCCTGCCTCCTGTGTTGAGCAGACAGGCTGCAACCTGCCTCTGTGGCGCCTCAAAGCAAGAATGTGCTCATAAATGCTACCAGCCGGCTTTCCAGGAAAGGAGCTGTAAGTGTGTACAGGGCACTTCGGGAAGTTCGTGGAAAAAATAGAAAACACAAATCTTATCATCAACTTTTTGAAGCAACCTTGTACATGTATGAGTACGTATGTATGTGCTGTGTCTGTCCCCTTCTCTCTCCACACACACAAACGCACACACACGCACACGGTTATTATAAATTTTACTGATATAAATGATGTGAGCACACAGTTTATGAATAATAAAACCCACAATATTTTATGTACGAAATATACAATGAAATCTACAACATATTCATTATAAACTCCATATAGCCAGTTGATTCTCACAAAATTCCCTCACTGACTCTCTACGCAGCCTGTGATGGCGACGTGTAAAGAAGTGTGGTTCTGACAGAAAGGTCGGTTGAAGTTTTTGTTCATCTTAATGAGACGAAAGCAAAACCACAAAGATGTATGGCAGAGCTTCACACGTTCACAGGTGACACAGGCAACCTCTTTGCTAAGTTGGATGATCGTTTTCAAGTACTGGAAGTTTTTTTTTGCTATTCACAATGTCATGGTCACAGACACAACACTTCAGTTTAACCTGTATTATTAACATTTTCTCCATCGCTTTCTCAAGTCTAGACAATCAAAACCCAGTGATAAACCAAGCCCTGCTGTGCCCTGGTGCACTGATCTCTGGCATGATACCTCCACTGTGGCTAGTCTTGGGCTACTAATGTGACGTTGCTGAAGGGGACCTTGGGAAGAGATTTGAGATTGCACACTGTAACATTAATTCCCACTTTATGGACGTGACAGGCAGATAACTACAGACGTGACAGACGTGGTAACAGTACAATGTGCTCGAATAATTAAGACATGATGAGTTTTGATTATCTCCTTTGTTTTTAGCGTAATTTACTTGCCAGTTTATATAATTTAATTTTTAGTAATGGTGTTTAACAATCAGCTCTCAAAGCTGAATGTTTGACATATGTTACAATGGCTAAACCCAAACAACTGACCATACCAAGCGTCAGTGAGCACGAGCAAGACAGGAGTGCCTGCACGTGGCCGGGGCAGGTGGGCAGCGCGGCACTGGCAAACAGTTTGGCAGGGTCTTCTGGTGTTAATGTGCACCCGCCACGGCCCAGCGGTCCTGCTCCTAAGGATTCGCCCAAGAGAAAGGAATCTACAGAGAGACCACAGACAGACTCACCCCTGAATGTTCAGCCCCAGTGAATGCTTAAACCCACCACCCCTACCACGGAGTCTCAACCACTCAGCAAGAAGAGGAGCGATTTTGCTGAGTGAGAGGACACAGCCCCGAAGACAGTGTGTCCTCAGAACCAACTCCACTGTCCAGCACGGCCCTGGCTGGCCACAGCTGTGATCATGGGAGTGTAACTGGGAGACAGTTGACATAAGCCAATTGAAAATGGGATTAGCCATGGACAGGGATGAATATAAAGTAAAAAGGCCAAATCGTTTCCAGCTTGTCTTTGTGCAGGAGACAACATAATTAAGAACACAGAGTCTGAACCAGGCTTCACCAAAGTCAGGGCAGAAAGCCTGGGAGATGAAATGGACTGCCCCTCCTGTGTTCCCTTGGGGAGGCAGCTGGACGTTTCTGCTTCTTGCAAACGCCTGTCCCTTGTAAGAATTCAGACAGGACTGACCAGACCAGGAGGGAGGCTTGCCCTGGTGATGCCCCGCCCAAGAAGCAGCATCAACATTGGGGCCCTGCCATTCTGCACTCACATGTCCCCCACTCACACACGAGCACACTGCACTCGCACATGCACCCTACACTCTCACCTGCACCCTACACTCTTACATGCACCCTACATGCTCACATGCACCCTACAAGCTTATGTGCACCCTACACTCACACGTGCATCCTACTCGCTCACGTGCACCCTACACACTCACGTGCACCCTACATGCTCATGTGTGCCTTACACTCACGTGTGCATCCCACACTCACGCATGCACCCTACACTCAAGTGCACCCTGCACTCACTCACACTCACACACACACTGTCTTGGTCCGTTCAGGACTTGTATTTGCGCCTTGAAAATCTTTTGAGCCTCAGCGTCTCCTAAGGGATTTGGCTGGGACGAGGACCTAGGAAGTGTTATTTGCATCTTGTGTTGGTCCATGTGGGCTGCAAAACAAAAATACCACAGACTGGTTGGCTTGTAAACAAAAACATTTATTTCTCACAGTTCTGGAGGCTGGTGTCTGGTGAGGGCCTGTTTTCTTGTAGATGGCACCTTCTGGCTGCGTCCTCACGTGGTGGAAGGGACTAGCTAGTTCCCTGGGGTCTCTGATGGCAGCACTAACCCCATCGTGGGGGCTTTGCCCTCATGATCTAATCACCTCCCAAAGGCCCCGCCTCCTAACAACATCACCTTGGGGGTTAGGTTTGACATGAATTTGGGGGAGACACAAACATTCAGGGTATGGCACACCAACACTCACACAGGCACACACACGTCCCCACTTTCCCTACCACACACACATAGCCCACACTCACACACCATATACCCACTCATGCACACACACAACTGCTCCACACCACACACACACACATTCTACATGTGCATACACACACCTCACTCCCACACTCATTTATGATTTTGCATAAATGGGATCTTACTAGATGCTGCTTTTACAAAAAATCACAAACACCTTTGTTGTTTAAGAGTCTTTTTTATAGTGAATTTCTCTAGATTTTTCAACTTCATTGACATAATTTTCATTTCGTCAGGATCCATAGTGATGTCTCCTTTCTCATTTCTAGTCGTGTGTTTGCAACAAGGCTTGTGAGAGATTTATACATTTCATTGGTCTCTTCAAAGAAGAAAACAGGGCTTCGGCTTATCCTTTCTCTTTTTTTAGCTTTTGCTTTATTAACTCCAGCTTTTGTCTTAATTAAGTCCATCTGTCTATTTTCTTTGGTTTAGTTTTTGTTCTTTTTTTCTAATTTCCTAAGATAAAGACTAACCTTTGCCATTTCTTCTTGAATAACGAAGACGTTCAAAGGC